TTTTTTTTAAAGATTTTATTTATTTATTTGACAGAGAGATCACAAATAGGCAGAGACAGGCAGAGGGGGATGGAGGTAGCAGGCTCCCTGCTGAGCAGAGAGCCCCATGCAGGCTCAATCCCAGGACCCTGAGATCATGATGTGAGCTGAAGCAGAGGCTTAACCCACTGAGCCACCCAGGCGCCCCTACTCAACCTCTTTTTAATCTTATCTTGTTGGTTAGAACCTGAGAAAACTGATGAGAGTAATAGTGGTGATTCTTGTTTTGTTCCTGACTTTAATGGCAATGTTACCAGTGTTTTATACAAGTTCTTAATTTCTGATAGATCCCACTTACTGAGTTAAGGACATTTCTAATATTTTGAAAATTCTTGGAAATTTTATAATTGCCTCTTCTGTATCTGGTGATCAAACAGTTTTCCTCTTGTAAAATACTTATAATGAATTATATTCTTATTCTTACCATTCTTGCATTTCCATAGATCTACTTACTTGGTCCTAATAGCTTTTGTCAATATTTTATTAAGACAATTTATCAGGAGGACATTCAAGATGGTAACATATAAGGGATCCTAAACTCAACATCCTCCCATGAATACAACTACAGCTATGTATGAAACAGTTCTCTATGAAAAGGACCCAAAAGCTAGCCAAATAGCACCTCTACAACAAAGGACAAAAGGGCCACATTGAGATGGGTAGGAGAGGCAATACATGGTCTTTCAAAAATCCCACCCTAAGCATAAAGACCAACATCTGGGAGGAATCTCATAACACAGGGCTTGTCCCCCGCAAGAAGCGAGGGATTTGTGCTCCATAGCAGGTATCTCGGCCCTTTGGGACTACATCAGAGAGATGAGCACCTGGCCTTGAAAATCAATAGGGCTTAACAACTATAGGGCTTTAGGGAATGGAAAATCCACTATTAAAGGACTCACACACAGACCCACTCATCCCAGGACCCAGCACAAAAGTAAGTCTCAAAGACACCTAGACCATATGCTGAGGAAATGCATTTGCTAATCTTATAGCATCTGCCAGAGACAGGAACCCCTTGGGACTCTCTGGGGACAGAGATGCTGGCAAACACTATTTTGTACACTCCCCACCCCCACCCAGCCTGCTAGCTCAGGAAGAAGTGTCCTGCCCCCCCCACAACCCAGGTCTACCCTCCTCCTGCTGAGTGCCCTGCCCCCATGGTCTACCCTGCCAGCCAGTGGGCATGTGCAGTCTACACAAGGGCCACCGTTTGAGCACCTGGCGCTGGTGGCCAGTGGGGATTGTTTTGGACTCCCTGGGCCTAAAATATTCAGTTCTTCACAGGTTATCACCCCCAAGGGCACCGCACAACCAGCTGACTAAAACATACCCCTAGAGTTCATTTGAAAAAGGTGTATTTTCTTCTCCTTGAGTTTCAACCTGAGGGGCAGGCAGGATTCAGGTTTGCCATATATTCATAGGCTACATAGGTGCCCCCAGATAAGATGGGCAGGGAGATAACCATATTAGTGCTCTCCCGTGGCCATATAACAGTTCACGGATGCCTCCCAGAAAGGAGCTTATATATGCCTAAAGCAAGAGTTTTCCAGTTGTCACCCTGGGGATTAACTCCAGATTTCCTGGTCTCAAAGTCAGCAGGGTTTATGATTCTGTAATCATAAGACTATATATTTACATAAGACTATATACTTACATACTTTGAAAGCTGCTGCCTGTGGATCTGGCTTACTCTATTCCTAAAAGAACTAGAAAAAGAAGAAATAAAGCCCAAAGTTAGTAGAAGGGGGAAAATAATAAAGATCAGGGTGGAAATAAATAGAGACTAGAAAGATAACAGTAAGGGTCAGTGAAATGAAGAGTTGGTTTTTTTGAAAAGATAAGCAAAACTGATGAATCTTTAGGTAGGCTCACTGATTTAAAAAGACAGGGCTCAAAAAAAAAAAAGACAGGGCTCAAATAAATAAAAAATGAAAGAGAAGTTATAACTGATACTGTGGAAACACAAAAGATCCTAACAGACCACTACTAACAATTATATGCCAACAAACTGGACAATCTGGAAGAAATGGAAAAATTCCTAGAAACTTATGATTTTCCAAGACTGACTCTAGAGGAAATAGAAAATGTGAATAAGCCAGTTGCTAGCAAGGAGATTGAATGAGTAGCCAGAAACCTCCCAACAAACAAGTCCAGGACCGGATGGCTTCACTGGTGAATTTTACCAAACATCTGAAGATGTAATACCTATCCTTCTCAGACAAGGACACCACAGAGAAGAATCCAGGCCAATAACCCTGATGAACATAGATGCAAGAGTCTTCAACAAAATATTAGCAAACCAAATTCAACAGTATATTAAAAGGATCATATACCATGATTAAGGTTGATTTATCTCAGGGATGTAAGTATGGTCAACATCCAGAAATCAATCAGTATATTAACATTCGCAGGTAAGAATATGCTGTTGTATGTAAAATAGAAATGAGAGGTCAAGAGACTCCAAAGCAAAGGGTAGAGCAAGAACGCCTTTGTTCATAATGATGTACTGTCATGGCGCCAGTCAGCCACAGGGAGTGTGACTTGGCTTCTGTGAAATAAATTCATGGCCCTGTGATCATTCTACCATCTCCCACCCCTCCCCCACCAATTGCTTTAGCTTATGTTGGTACCCTTCTCTTGACATGTGTTCTTTAATAAAATTTGCTAAAATTTTACCCACCCTGTTGTTTTTCTTTAAAAAAACTACTACCACCTGACATGTTATATACTTTACTATTAGTTTCCATCCACTAGAATGTGAACATTGGAACTTGATCTGTTTTGTTTACCAATGCATTCCTTGCACACATTATAGTGTGTGGAACATAATAAGTATTGAATTAATGAGTACTAAGCTTGGCAGAACTGAACTAAGAAAGATACTGATATTTACAATACTACATCTTTGATCTAGAAATACAAAATATCCTGTAAGAGATGAAAAAATTATTGCATAAAAACTGTAATTCATGGGCAGGGGAGTGTCAATAATAAAGAATATGAAGGAAAAAGTTTTGTAAGTACCCACACTGCACTACCAAAGATGGCATTTCAGTTTTATTTGTGTTGTTTTTAGCATATAATTGCACTTTTAGAAGTACTTTATGGAGAGTAGGGAAACTACCAAGATTTGAATGAAGATAAAAATAATATAAGTTCAGACATAAAGTGTGGGATCTTGGTTTAAGTGGAAATGGAATCTTTTTGGTGGTTTGTGGTTAGTGGGTTATATTGTCACTTTGTGGAACCACTGGTCTCTAGAATTTAAAAAGTAGCTTCATTTTTGTCCCAGTAGTAGTTGGGAGGCCATTTGAAAAAGAAAAAACTTAAGAAAAACATAAATTACAATTTTGAAATGCTACCATTAAAGCTTGTCTTTTTTTTTTTTTTTTTTAAGTAGATTCTATGCCCAGTGGGGAACCCAATGCAGGGCTTGAAATCATGACTCTGAAATCAAGGGTTGGACACTTATACTGAGCCACTCAGGCACCCTAAAGCTTATGTCTTAAACAGAAGGTAGGTGAGAATGAAGATTTTTGTCACTATTAGAGAAAAACCAAATGTACAAAGTATATAGTTTATATTTAATGTCATTTTCAGTTAATCTTCAGTATTTCAGAAAATGTGCCTGCCACACTATTTTACACACTATTTATAAAATCGGGGTTTACTGACTTAAAAATATACATATTTAAAAAAATATTTGACCGACTAAATTGTTAATATTTTACAAACTATTTATGAGTCATGAATATACAAACATTTTATCAGATTTCTAACAGGATTGCATATTCTAAATTAGGACTTCCATTAGCCATTTTTTGGTGGAATTATGTAATATATCATTAAAATGAACATCTTATAGCTATTACTAATAATTACGTCAACAGCCTCTATATAGAACTTTTTCAAACATTAACTGAAAATCATGATTTTTTCCATCCTTTATACTAAGAACATCCATACATTTGCAACATTTACTCTATTTGATAAGTAAATGATTTTTCTATATTTTCTAAACAATTTTATTTTCTAAATTTGAAAAATGTACTCCCTCATTCTAGTTAGGATCCCATTTATAATATTTATTCCACTACATTTATGGCTTTGTGACCAATTTGAAAGGTGGTATATCATTAAAAACAGATCTGTACTAAAGAAAATGGCTTTGATATGGCAAATCCCAGTTTGTAAGACAGGTAGCCAAATACTGCTCTTGTGCAGAGGTGAGCCATTAGATGACTAATGTAAATTGTCTCTACTGTATACAAAGACAATAAAGAAGGTAGGAAGAGATCCATTATGGTAACAAATGGGATCTATTATATCTGAGGTTTTAAGGTATTTCAGAATTATAGGAATTAAAGGGCAATCTTTTTAAAGATGTATAAGTGGTTTAGTTTTAATAATATTTATTGATTTGTAATGTAAAAAATAAGAATATAGGTAACTCTTGAAATAAAAAAATAGACCACATAAAATGTGCATTTTAATACAAATCATTAGGATATATTTATACTATATATAAATCTACACATTAGAAGATAGTATTGAAATTTTACTCTACAGAGTATTACTCTAGAATTCTCTTTAAAAAAAAAAATCACTGGGTGGAATTAGATGATGACTGTGAAATAGATTCTCCCATTACAATACTGCTTCTGTCATTTAGAGTTTTGACAACACTTGTAGCTGGAGACTGTAGCACTTTACGAGAAAGTCTCATTCTTCCGTCAGCTGGATCACGCCCAAAGTATTTCACCTGTATTAAAGAAGCCAATTTACCTTTACAGTTACATAGTACAATGATTAACATCCAAATTAGAAGATACTTACATTTATATGGTGCAAAAAAAACCCAATAAGTAATGTTTTTACTTTCCTGAAAGCACAGCTTAGTACTAAGTAGAGGTATATACTAATAAATATAATTTGGTTAAGTAGCCCTTATAAGAAAAAGAAAAGAGACGGGCATTTAGTTGCTCTATTAAAATCCTCTGTTAGACTCAACTGTGCTTTCTTATTTTCTCTGGGCCAGGTCCCTATACTGGAAGAACAGTGAAAGCCATGGTGAATGATTCTAGACAAGGGCTTTCTGAGCCTAACGGTATGATAAACTATACAGGATTATGGTTAGGTCATTCACACTATCCCCCAAAGGACTATCAAACGAGATTATTTGGCTTGACTTTATACAACACAAGTTGGGGGAAATGCGGCAGTTTTAAAGTCCCTTCTCATGCAAAAACACAACCTTATACAGATACTGGGTCTTAGTTCTTACTCTTCCCTAGAAGCTCCTTGAACAATGGACTACAGATTAGGAATAAACTAGAAGCCTTGGTTACTCAAGTCATGGGTAATAGGTATAGCTGGAACAAAATGTGGTATGGACAAGTAAAACAGAAACCAAACCACACCAGACTGGCAATGACTTCCTTTATACATTCATAAAAAACTATAAAAAGGTCAAACAACATGGCTTTCTTTAAACTCAAAAATTTTTAGCTATGAACCAATTGAAGTCTCAACTCAAATATGTCATTCAAGGCTTTTAACAGAGTTACGTGTTCAGAGTTCTTCTGTCCTATCTGCACATCACTGCATAGCTATTACTGGCCTCATGCATTTTTAAAAGCTCTAAAGTGGGGGGACTACTGTTCGAACTAAACTGCAAGCTCCCTAAGGGGAAGAATTACACCTTAAATCCTTAGTCTGTTTAAAAACAAACCTAAAGTTAAAAAAGCACAGCACATAATACAAATCACAGATGTTGATTTGATTCTTTCAGCTTTTTGGAAAAAAAAATTTTTTTGAAACTTGGAATACAGTTTACAACTTTTAAGGCTAAAAAGTTGAATACAAGTACCTGAATTTCTTGGCCAACTTCTAATCCAAGGGCGGTGGGATGTTTAATCTAAAAGAGAACATGTTCATTTGTTCGTTGCTATGCATAATTTCTTAATATCCATAGCAGTACACATTTTTTTAAGTGGAAAGTTTTAGTGTTTTTCTGATTATAAAATCTATTGATTACAAAGGCTTAAAATACACATTCTAGTGAGAGCAAAAATCATCCAAAGCTCTCTACTTTTTAGATAACTACTGCTGATACTCTTAACAAGTATCCCTTCAAATGTCTACTTAGTATGTACTCCATTTATAAAAATGGACCTTATTGAGCTTGTTGTTTTCTAATACGTTGATTTTTCATTCAATAATATGTTCAGGATATCCTTTTATATCAACAAATGAAACAGTAGAATGTTCAAACTATATAATTTGTTTAACTGATCCCCTAAAGGTGGTCATTTAATTCGTTTTAAATTCCAGTATTTTTTTTTAAGACTTTATTTACTTGGGGAGGGGAGCAAGAACGAGCACACGCAAGCGTGAGAGTACCTGTAGGGCAGAGAGGGAGAAGCAGACTCACTGTGGTGCAGAGAGCCCAATGTAGGGCTCGGTCACAGACCTGAGATCATGACCACAGCTAAAGGCAGATGTCTAACTGACTGAGCTACCCAGGTGCCCCTTAAATTCTGGTATTGCAAATGTTAATAATTACTGAATCTAGATGTAAGGTGTGTGGATGTTCAGTGTACTATTTTTTTCAACTTTCTGTAGGTAACTACAGTGTTGCAACAATTATGTAGTTACTCAAATTATCCTTTCAGAATAAAGTCCTAATGTTGAACTTCTAGGGCCAAAGGTACTCATACACATTTATCAAACACTCTCCAAAAAGTCTGTCCCAATTTACATTCCTAAAACAGTATCTCAAGTGTATGAGAATGTCCATTTTTTTCTTCCATATTTTCACCCACATTGAGGATTTTCAACTGTCTGAAAGTTGAAAAATGATAACTTAGTTTTATTTGTATTAAAAAAAAACTGTTGGGGCGCCTGGGTGGCTCAGTGGGTTGGGCCTCTGCCTTCTGTTCGGGTCATGATCTTAGGGTCCTGGGATCTGCATCGGGCTCTCTGCTCAGCAGGGGAGACTGCTTCCCCCCCCCCCACCCCCCTGTCTTCCTCTCTGCCTACTTGTGATCTCTCTGTCAAATAAGTAAAATCTTAAAACAAAACAAAACTGCTGTTGGAGTGCCTGGAAGACTTGGTGGGTTAAGCATCTAACTCTTGAATTCATCTCAGGCCATGATGCCAGCATCATGAGATCAAACCCTGTTTTGGGCTCTGCTCTCAGTGTGGAGTCTGCTAGAGATTCTTTCCCTCTCCCTCTGTTCCAACCCCTGCTCACCCATGCTCTCTGTCTAAAATAAAAACAAGTAATATACAAATCTTTATTTTAAAATCTTTAATTTAAAATCTTTAATTTAAAAAAATTGCTGTTGATATTGACCTTTCTTACTGATCCATATAAACCCTGTGCATATGAAGCCTCTCTCATTTTTTATATACATCTTTTTCCCCTGAGTTGGTACTTGCCTTTCACCTTAATTGTAATTTTGCCGTGTATTTTAAAATGACATCAGGAGCACCTGGGTGGCTCAGTCAGTTAAGCATCTGAATCTTGATTTCACCTCAGTTCATGATCTCAGGATTGTAAGAAAGAGCCCTGCATGGTGCTCTGCACTCAGCAAGGAAGTCTGAGATTCTCTCCCTCTGCCCCTCCCCTCACTCAAGCTCTTGGGTTCTTTCTCTAAAATAAATCTTTCTAAAATAAATAAAACGAGACATTCTGCTTTATGAAAACCAGCTATTCCAATACAATGTATTAAATAATCTTTGTTTCTTCAGACTGAAAATGCAACTTTTAGTATATATTATATTCCCATTTATATAACTGGATAATTTCTGGTCTCTATTTTCTGTTGTATAAATTGTCTAATTCTAGGTCAGTAATACACTGTTTTATTCTGTATAGCTTTATATTTCAATATTTGGTAAACTAAACATTCCTATTATCCTCTGCACCTATAGTTTTCTTGAATAGTTTCATATTTTTAGTTTTATCTTACCATGCTTAGTTGGCCAAGAAAGTTGGGAAGACAGGGCTATAGCTAGGTATTTTTAAAAAGAAACTGTTATATGTTAACTCCAGATGTGTTAACTCAAGAATGTTTCTATTCCATGATACAAGGACAAACATAAATACCTGTTAAATAGTGTAAAAACCTTCTGTCAGCAACATTGCTGTCATTTTCAGCTTTTTATATTTAGGCTAGTAGTGGACAAAGTGCACAATTCTCAACAACCCAGGTAATTTCACTATGATGATTTTAAGGTAGTTTTAAACATATTGTTTTGTTTTTACCTTTCGTTGATCAAGTTGTGTGTTATGGAGTAGTACTGCAGTCATATTTGGATATAATTTAACCATCACTCCAGTGTCTCTGAGAAGGAAAAGAAATAAGCCCGATTAAAACAGTATCTGAGTATCTACTCATAATCAAACTGATTATGTATCCATTGGAGAACAAAGTAAACACACACAATTGTAAAAAGGATTATCTAAAAGAGAAACTTATTTTTTCAATTGAACATACACCTTGGATTTACATTTTTTAAAAAATATTTTATTTATGGGGCACCTAGGTGGCTCAGTGGGTTAAAGCCTCTGCCTTCAGCTCAGGTCATGATCTCAGGGTCCTGGGATCGAGGCCTGCATCAGGCTGTCTACTCAGTGGGGAGCCTGCTTCCCCCTCTCTCTGCCTGCCTTTCTGCCTACTTGTGATCTCTGTCAAATAAATAAATAAAATCTTTTAAAAAAAAATTTATTTGAGAGAGTGAGAGAGCATGAGCAGGGGAAGGGAGAGGGAGAATCAGACTCCCTTGAAGAGCAGTGAGTGTGACAAGGAGCTCGATCCCAGGTCATGACCTGAGCTGAAGGCAGATGGTCTGAGCCACCCAGCTCCTACACCCTGTTATTTAGATACTTGTAAATGAAAGGACAGAGAAGAGATAAAGGAAAATTGTGTTAATGACAAGCTTTTAAACTATATACTCTTCTATAATTCTCTATTTCCCCATTTTGAAATGACATTAATTATTTATTTTTTTAAAGATTTTATTTGAGAGAGAGAATGAGAGAGAGCATGAATGGGGAGGAGAGGGATAAACAACATTAAATATTTTAAAGTAGTGTAGATGAATCATCAACCTATTAAATAATGGTTTAAGGAAGGGGGCTAGATAAAATAAGGTATTTATTTCATTACAAAATCTGTCTTTTTTTAATTTTTTTTTTTTAAAGATTTTATTTATTTATTTGACAGAGATCACAAGCAGGCAGAGAGGCAGGCAGAGAGAGAGAGGGAGAGAGAGGAGGAAGTAGGCTCCCCGCTGAGCAGGGAGCCCGATGCGGGGCTCCATCCCAGGACCCTGGGATCACGACCCGAGCTGAAGGCAGAGGCTTTAACCCACTGAGCCACCCAGGTGCCCCCAAAATCTGTCTTTTTTTAACTAGTCTACTAAAATAAGCCATCCCATCTCTCAGTTTTTCACCTGTGATATTAAACAAATTATTCCATTGGCTTTTGTTATTCATTTCAAATAGCTCTGAACACCCAGGCTACATCTGATATATATATGTATTTTTTTCCTTAAGAAGGGCATTTTTCAGGGGTGCCTGAGTGGCTCAGTCTATTAAGTGTCTGCTTTTGGCTCAGGTTATGATCGCAGGGTCCTCTGGCATTGAGCCCCGCATTGGGCTCCCTGTTCGTGGGGAGTCTGTTTCTCCCTCTCTTCCCTGCTTGTGCTTTCTCTTGCTACCTTTCTCTCTCAAATAAATAAACAAAATATTTTTTTAAAAAGGGGAGGGGATTTTCTCATCCCCCCAAAATCAGTCTTTTTAGCTGATAAAAAATACTTTGAAGTTGAAATTGACATTTAAAGAAATGTGCTCCTTAGGCATTAAATAGTACTATCTTTAAAACAAACAAACATGAAACTACTAGAAAAAGAAAAAGGAATACTGCTAGGTCTATTTGGGCCTGTTTTACTGTTTATTGGGAAAATTTAAGTGGTGGGAAATTTGGTTCAAGGAAACAATTCACTTAGAAGAATCTATTAGTACAATTATAATCACAGAATTGTTATTGAAAATCAACAAACTGGCATAGAAAATAAATTATACCTTAAAAATAATTTATGGCAGGTAATTGACATAAAATCTAAATACCTAACATTTTCAACGTATATAATGCAAATGCGAAGGTAACATGTGCTTATAATATAAATCTTATAAAAACCAGCATAGTGGGGGCACCTCGTGGCTCAGTGGGTTAAAGCCTCTGCCACTGGCTCAGGTCATGATCCCAGGGTCCTGGGATCGGGTCCTGCATCGGGCTCTCTGCTAGGTGGGGAGCCTGCTCCCCCAACCCCCGCCCCCGCCTGCCTCTCTGCCTACTTGTGATCTGTCAAATAAATAAATAAAATCTTAAAAAAACAAACAAAAAAAACAAACAAAAAAACCCCAGCATAGTGTATTGGTTAATATTACCTGATTTCAGTTATTGTGGCGGTATACACTGCTCCAAATTCTAGTTGCTGCTCTTGCTGTAAGTGCAAAATAAGCCATAAGATGTATAAATATAGCAAAAAATATAGAAAAAAGTAAGTATTATAAGATCTATACTTACATCATCTTTGCAGATTTCAGTAATGAAGTCTCTTGCTTCATGCATAGCACTTGGTGTTGGTGCAAATACAGAAAATGTTTCTTCATCCACCTGACTAACAGTTACTCCTTTTAAAAAGATAATTTAACATATTAAAGTTAACTTGCTCACTTTAGTGAAGTCTCATCTTACAAAGTAGATGTGAGAGCAGGGCCTGACGTATAAGTAGCTGGGCAGAGTTGTGTTATATTTACTCATTGCTTTAGGAATGAAGGGATTCATTCAGCAACATATAACACATTGCACACCTGCTATGTATCTGACATTGTACTATGACCTGGGGAAGCAAAAGTCAGTCACTGTCTCTGTGTTCTTGGAGCTCAGAGTTTGGTAGGAGAAAGCACATTTAAGTTCTAATTTTTGAAGATTTGGTTTTGCTCTTTTAATTATGAGTAGCTTCTATACTATAACCTTTTCCTCACTTTTTCTTTCTCTTACTCTAGAGTAGTGAACAGATGGATGAGGGATGACATGTCAGTTTCTCAATCTAAAGCGCTGGCTAAGACAACTATGCTTCTCACCTTCCTTCAATAACCTCAAAGCTGGTAAGTACTAGGTAACTCAAAGATTGCTTCTAGAAAAAACAAAGCATACTATTTCTACACATACTCTACTCTTCAAATAAAAGTCTAACTAAGACTAAGTGAAAAACAGCAGAATAGAAAATGACAGCAAAATCCTCTGAAGTGAAAAACTAAAGATTTTTCTAAATGTTCCCAATTTTAAAATGTCACAAAGAAATCAATGAATTCTAGGTCATCCTTCTTGAATATAGTTAAGAATGACTGCTGATTTATTAAGAGGCATACAGAAAATTTAAAGACATGACAGCATTATATTCTTCTCTCTTGTTCTTACAGATCTCAAACATTTTTTTTTTAATATAATGGAGATGAAATGGCAACTTATGGGGCCTATCATTAAAACCCTCAAACTTGGGGCACCTGGGTGGCTCAGTTGGTTAAGTGTCTGACTTTTGATTTTGGCTCAGGGCATGATACAGGTTTGTGAGATCAAGCCCTCAAGTTGAGGTCCATGCTGAACATGGAGCCTGCTTAAGATTCTCTCTCCCCCTCCCCCTTCTCCCCTTCCTCTCTAAAAAACTTAGAAAAATAAAACCCCCAAACATCATACAACTCTTACCTGTTTCAGCCTGAAGCTTTTTTAAATGATATCCACCTGGTCCAACAAATTTTGCCCGTTTTGATAATGGAACCTGAATAGTTTCTAAAATGTAATAAAGACAAACTGTAAATAATTCAAATACATATATGAACCTAAAACATATCTGATCAAAAATTTTTTTTTGGCATATGCACATGTAGAACTATTTCATGGGAAATACAAAAATAGTTACTTGACTCAAGTATCTCTAAGTTCTAATGTCTAAAAATACCTCCCCAAATTTAAAGTGTTTATAGAAATATTTAAAATATTTTTGTTTTGTGTATGGAGTTAAAGGAAATTTAAATATAATAATATACTTTCATATATTAATGTTTACCTTATGACAGAATAAATAATAACTTTAATACATTACCTACAACAGGTCCATTTTCTTTTCTAGATGCTCGAGGTTTTGAAATAGTTTTGTTCATAATCTGTAGTATCTCCTTCTTTGCCACTTTAAGAGATAAAAACATAAAAACTATAATCACAGTTGACCCTTGAACAACTGGAGATTATGGATGTCCACCCTTGCATCAAAAATTCGTGTAAAACTTTTATTCCCCAAAACTTAACTACTAATAGCCTACTATTGACTGGAAGCCTTACTCATGACAAAAAACAGTTAAGTGACACATTTTGTATGTTTATGTATTATACTCGATATTCTTATAATAAAGTAAACTAGAGAAAAGAAAAGGTTAAGACAACCTTAAGACAACCATAAAGAGGGGCACCTGGGTGACTCAGTGGGTTAAACCTCTGCCTTCAGCTCAGCTCATGATCTCAGGGTCCTGGGATCAAGCCTCGCATCAGGCTGTCTGCTCAGTGGGCTTCCCCCCCCCCCCATCTCTCTTCCTGCCTCTCTGCCAGCTTTGATCTCTGTCAAAAAAATAAATAAAATCTTAAAAAAAAAAAAAGGAAACTATAAGGAATAGAAAATATATTTACATTACTGTATATTTATTGAAAAATATTTGCATAGGCATGGGATAGGGGGCTGGCTCTGGGATGGCAGAGTTCCACAGCCTGGTGGCTTAGGCTCAGCAGTGGCAACCCCTGGGTGGCCTGCAGGCTGCAACAGTTGCATGGAAGCATAGTAATGCTGATTCATCTGCAGGGACATGTACCACTGACCCATGGCCATACACTCATACCTGTGGCCACATGTGAGTGTGCTGGTCTCCACTGGTCTCCTGGTCTCCAGGAGGCCTCAGGGCCAAGGTGCCATAGTGGGGAATGGGTCCCCTCCCAACCCCACAGGCACAGAGGACTTAGTGCAGGGACTTCCTATACAGTGCTACCCCTTCCCTCTGGGCATATTTCTCCACTTCAGCCCAGTCTTCTGCTGGCCAGCCCTGGATGCTTGATGGGACACCTTCTCAGCACACTGGGTAACCTGCAGCCCTGCCCAGTCATGGCCCCCCCATCCCCAGGAGCTGCTAATTGCCTAAACAGGATTCATAGGATACTCAGTGTAGCAGACATGACCTCTGTGTCAGCTGCCTTCAGTTCATCTGGTGGAATGGGCAATAGTAAATAAATGCTTTGCTACTGTAAATAAATGCTTTTGTTGCCAACTCTTAAAAAAAAAACCCACAAAAACCAAAAACCAAAAAATAATCCACGTATAAGTGGACCCGTGCAGTTTGAGCACACATTGTTTAGAGATGAACTATATATAAAAAAAATGTGATAAGATATAGCAGTAGTCTTAGTTTTTATGGAGTAAAATCCAAATTCTTTAACTTAGTAATCAAAGCTCTTCATATCCTAATTACTTTTACAATTCTACTTATAGTCCCTTTTCTCCATAAATCTTATCTTAGGGAGTCACTTATAAAAATTGAATTTTCTCTGGTCTCTCATAAAGGTTTGGAATTTCATTTCCAAAACAGTATTTTATAAAAAGCCCATTTTTAATATGCCTAATGGGAATTATAGTTGTCATGAATAAATGAAAAATGATGGAAAGAGAATCAGGCACACTAGCTTAGCTTACCTGAGGCTTGTTGAATGGCCTCCATAACAATTTTTATTGGTATTCCAGGTAATTTAATATCAGCCTGACGTGGAAAAGTAAAAAAATTATATAAATATTGATTCATGACATTATTTAAATATTATAAAAGTGAAACAAAATAGGTTTTAAAATACCTGTAAGGCGGTTATTCCCTTATTGGTGCCGGCTATTTTGAAATCCATGTCACCATTGTAATCTTCAATTCCCTGAAGGAATTTAAGAAATGATATAGTTTTAAACAAAAACAAAATTCATCCAGGCACTATAGAGGAATTTTAAAAAATATCTAGAGAAGTAAACCATGTCCTCTAAGACTAAACACAAAGAAGTATCTTCTACAGTAAACTATTGCTTCTAATTTGTGGCTTTTTAAGTTAGAACTGTTTCATCAGAAAATTACTTTAAGTTCATGTTGTCCCCCCATAAATGCACAGGGATCCATTTATGATCCCCCTAAAGTGAGCCGTTATGGATATTTATACTGCTTTTTGTATATTTTAACTCACATCCTATAAAATCCAAGGCTAATATGCAGAGGAGGAAAGTAAGATAAGTAATACCAAGTAATGTTATTCTTCTAAGCATCCAATGCTTATAAAATAGGTGTCATCTTCACTACTGAATATTTGAAAACATGGATATACTTGCCAGAATATCTGTCAGCAAACGATAATCTTCTATTTCACCCTTGTCAGAATTGTTTTTGGTGACCAATCCTATTGCCACACCTGCGACAGCAGATGAAATTGGAACTCCTATAATTGAGAAGAGCTTGTATGTAATGTGTACATCAACCTAACACACGTATTTATCATTCTGTTGATATTTAATGTGAGTGCTCTTTTAAATTTGACATCATCAGAACCAAGCTGGAAAGGTCATCTATCTACCTCATTTCTTCTTAAGCATATGAAAAAAGCCCCTTAAAACAAATAAACAGGTAATCACTTTTCTCACAAAAATCTCTATAAAAATAGCACACTTAACTCTTAATAGAATCCATTTGTCTTTTTACTTTTGGTATGTTTATCTTCTTTTTTTGGAAATGTAACCATGTTATTGGTAAATCCCTCCAGCCTAAACCCCTCATCTTACCTCTCCATGAAAGCCATCAGTAGGTTTTTTTGTGTGTGTGTATCCTCCCAGAAAATTTGTGCCCAAATATGAATCAAAGTGTAATCTTCTGTTCTCTTTACTTATGGAAGCATAGTGAATGTGCTCACTATTCAGCACCTTGCCTTTTTTCACTTCATAACATACCTTGGATAACGACAACATAATGCCACACAAAGTTCCACCTTATTCTTTTGAATGGCTGCTCAGTACTCCCTGAATGGATTTATAAGCCACATAATAGAAGTGGGATTACTGGGTCAAAAGGTATGTGGGTTTACATTTATTATAAATCTGTCAAACTGCCTTCCAGAGTGTAGCATTTTATATTTCTACCAGCTGTATTTGACGGTGCCTGCTGCTCTACTTTTTTGTTAATTCCTGTCAGATCTTTTGCCCTTTATTATATAAAGGGCAAAAATGATAGCTTATTGTTTTTAATTTTTTTTATGAGTGAGATTAAACCTTTTTTAATGTTTATAAACTGTTTATTTAATTAATTTATTTATTTAGGCTCCATGCCCAGCTATGGAGCCCAACGCAGGGCTTGAACTCACAACACTGAGATCAAGACCCATGATGAGATCAAGAGTTGGACGCTTAACCAACTGAGCTACCCAGGCACCCCTTATATTTCTTTTTCTGTGAATTGCCTGTTCATGGCTTTCTACCATTTTCCTACTTGTTTGTTAATCATTTTTGTTAATGATTTATAAAAGCTCTTTCAATATGGGCAGTACATCTTTGTTAAATATAAATGTAGACTATTAAAGGAAATATATTATTTTCCTAGTCAGTTGACTTTGTTTATTGTGATTTATTTTCCTGTATAGAATTTTAAAGTTGTATGTTATCATGGTTCCTGGATTTTGCTTAGCAAGGTTTTTCCTAAGATTTTGATAAAATTTTCCATGTTTCATTTTTTTTTTTAACAAAACATTTAAGGTTTTATCACTTGGAATTTAACTGTTAAAAAGGATTGTGGCGGGGGATATCATTTCATATTGTCTAAGCAATCTCACTTATGCTCTTGGTTTTTAACCATAACCTATAATGTTGATGACCTAAAAAATCTCTCTCTCCTGCCTATTTCTCTTTGCTACTAAGCTCTAGAGCTGTATAGCCAATATGGCTATTGGACACTTCCAGCTAAATGTCCCCAAAGCATGTTATATGTATGTACATATATATAAAATGTAATCATACCCAATAAATCCTTTTTGTCTTGCTTTTCTTATCTTGGTTGAATGCAACTAAGATAGTCATCCAGAATCAATACTTCTTTCCTCATTTCCTAATATGGTCACAAAGATCTGATAGTTTGTCCTTTAAATTTCTGTAGAAAGTTGTCCTTTCCTCTAAATACTAAAACATCCATTGTTACTCCTTTAGTCCAAGTCTCCATTATTTCTTGCTCTGACAACATTCTCCTTGTCTGGTATCCCCAATTTTAGTCTCTCCCCCATTTCCATTCTCTCTCACTTCATCCTCTAGGTCTATCACCTAAGCTGGGAAAAACTACCAAAAAGAAAATAAATCAGATTCAAATCACACCATTCCTCTACATAAAATTCTCCCGAGTTCCCCACTATTTGCTTTCAGTATATTTTATACATGTTCTATGGTCAAAAACATTTGGGAAATAGTGCCTATCCTGTTCCTAGAGATTCAGAATTCACAATAGCATATTAAAGTTTATTTAACTCCTATTAAATAAATCTGCTTAACCCTGTTTAAATGTAGTTTAGAACAGAATGACTTTTTTTTTCATGGTATACAACATCCAGCAGGAACACTAGTCATAGAATACTGAGTTGTGAAATACTAGCTTTAAGTTCAAAATCCTTAACATAACAATGACTTTTAAAAGGTGGTCCCAGGGGCGCCTGGGTGGCTCAGTGGGTTAAGCCGCTGCCTTCGGCTCAGGTCATGATCTCGGAGTCCTGGGATCAAGCCCCGCATCGGGCTCTCTGCTCAGCAGGGAGCCTGCTTCCTCCTCTCTCTCTGCCTGCCTCTCTGCCTGCTTGTGATCTCTCTATCAAATAAATAAATTAAAAAATCTTAAAAAAAAAAATAAAAGGTGGTCCCAATTTATTACTTTTTTCAAATACATTTTAGAAACATACTATACTGCTTCATAACTTTGCCCATTATGTTCCTTTCACATGAAATATGGGTCCTGCTCCTAATGACAGATCAACTACTCAGCCTTTAGAACCAGATGAAATGTAGCTGTCTTTATGAAGTCAAGTACCTTCAACCTAATTTTTCATCCATATTGTACATATTTGTGCCTTTTACTTATTTGAATTAATCTCCTTGATCTTATGTTTTTCGTGCCTATAAGCTTTTTAGAAAACAGGTACCATTTGTATCCCTAAAGTAAGATAGTGCCTGATGTGAGGAATGACAAGCATTCATGTGTTTGAGCTGAACTGCACACCCTTTGTTGGCTTTTCCCACAGTCTTAACATTCATTCTTGTCAAATTCAATTGTTTTCTATTTGGCTTCTTATTTTTTATCTTAACATTTTTTAAGAGATCAAAATTGTCATTTAACACATCAGTCATGCATTCCTTTTTAGCAGTATCCTTTTAATTAATTAGCAGGCTAGTGTTCTAAGTCAATTCAATAATGAAAACACTGAAAGGGACAGGGCTTAGAAAGAAACATCTTCAGGCATTCCACTTGACCAAACCATCCTACTGATCAGATTTGCTTGCCTCCTCTGCACATGCTTCAACCAGTTATGACGGTGCACCTATCATCCATCTCAATTTCTGTATCACTTACAGAAAAATCATGAGCTGCCAAGCTACTCTAGAAACGGTATAAGCAGCAATCACCCTCCCCACTCCAAATCTGGTAGTGTTTCCAAAGTGGAACATTATTTTACAACATGATTTACTTTAAATGAGTCCCTCTCGTCCCTTCTCTTCACAGCCCCCTCCTTCCTAAAAATACTTATAAACCCTTTTTTTCTTAAATAATCTCTTTAAGAGTTTTGCTAAGTGTGACTGTCAAGTTCACTAGGTTATGCTTTATAGAAAATACCTTACTTTTTTTTCCCCAAAATTAAGAACTTTTTGTGTCCTTCGTATATTAGTTTCTGATTTTTCAAATACTGCCAACATTGGTCAGGTGTATCTCATCCTGAAGTTCTCATCTTTACTTAGGTTGGGTTTTTGTCAAGACCAAAAGATCTGAATTCATTTAAAGCATTTAAAGACTCTTATAATCTCCTTTTACTTTATCTTTCAGTTCACCTTTTTGAGAATATATTGTTTCCCAGTACGAAAATTTAAGACTGACTGAATGTAAGCTACATCAGGCCAGGGGCTTTGTTTTGTTCATCACTGTGTCCCAAAGGCTTAGCTCAGTGCTTGGCACAGGGGTGGCATCTAGTAAAGACTGGCTGAATGAATGCATGAAGGTGAAAACAAAAAGCATTTTACCAGCAACCTTAAATATCACCTTATGCTTTTCTGACACTGAACACAACTAGAAAAGTACTTTTAGGGTTTTTTTGTTGTTGTTGTTGTTGCTTTGGCTTAAGTTTTCGTCTTTCTAGATAGTGTTATTGTGTATTCACACAATTCTATCTCACCTTGGTTATAGTATCCTTTCTATCTTTCTGTACTATCAATGTGTGAACTTAGGGGAAGCTCCATGTAGCCTCTTGAGAATCTTTAGGTTCCCTTCCTTCTTGAACAGCAACATTGGTGAGATATAGAAATTGTTTTCAGAGCCTTAACATGTTGACTCTTTTCCCCTTTCAGTGTTTCAAACTGAGAGATTATACTGAATCTCTTATAGTCTTTCTTTCTGAAATTCTGTGTATCCTTCTGTGTGTGGTACTGTTCTTCTCATGGTTTGCAAATTGAATGGAAGATTACATGGTTATTTTCCTTTACCGGTCCTAAATACTTCTGCTTCCTGGTCCAAACTTTATTGGTGAGTGGAATCAACTACAGAGCTCTTTACCTTTTGGAAGGTAAGAAGGCTCACTGGATCACCAAGGCAAGTAAATAATTTCAGTGTTCTCCCTTTTACCAGAAATAAGAATTCTAGTAATTATCTGTATAGCTGAAGCTGCACTTTGTAACTATCTTGCTCTGGCCTGGTTTGATAATCTGTAATCTGACTTCTCCAGGTCTTATCAAAATGTAATTTTAAAGAGATCTTATATTTTATACTAATTAAATAGAGATAAAGCATTAGTAGCTTTGACACATAATTCTTTTACCTGCGTCCATTAATGCTAAACTTCCACCACATGCAGATGCCATTGAAGATGATCCTATTGAAACAAAAAAATACTTGTTTATAATATACTGATTTTTTTAAATGTAGAAAACTGTTACTATTGGTTATTTCCTTATAAATATTCAGTATTCTTTCCTTCTTTCTTTTTAAAAGAAATTAAGGCAAGCTCTGTTAAACCACAAACTATAGGGCTACACAGTCCAATATGATAGCCATTAGGTACATGTAGCTACTAAATTTAAATTAATTTAAATAAATTCAGTTCCTCCGCTGTATAGTATGGAAATAATTTCCATCATCATAGAAAGTTTTATAGGACAGCAGTGCTACAGATTCTAAGAAACCTCCCAGAAAAACCACCATGCCTCTTCTGTTGCTTAATCAGAAGGCAGTTAAAGATATAGGCTCTGGCTCTCTCACTGGACCCT